TTGATTTTAAACAAACGTACCATTTGTTATGTCAGAAAGCGGTGAATCACGTAAACTATTCATCACATTGTACGATGATTGAGTGTGCAGATGACGGCCATGCACATTCATCGTATTTGACCCTGTAAACAAATATTATTTAAACAAATTGCTGGACGATAATTAGAAAAAATCTATATAACAAATTTAGAATCATAATTAAACTGACCAGATACTCCTGACGATAATGGTGTTTTCTTAGGACGACCACGTTTTCGTTTTTGTGTACTTGGCTGTAGGTCTACATAATTAGTGCAGTTGCTAAAAACACGCGTCGTGGTACTTGAAGTAGGTACAATGTCGTTTTCAATGTCATCTTCACTCGTGAGATCAATAATAATGTTTTCTTGTGCTTTTGTAGGAACAATACAAAATGGAGTTTTAATATGGTCATTTGCACCTGTTATTAAACAGAAGAATAAAAAATAATGTAAAAATAATCACATATCTATAAAATAACGCAATCATATAGATCCACACACACACACAAATATATATAACAATATATATATTATAATATATATATATATATATATATAACCAAATATTATTATATTTTGTATTGCTTAATGAAATAAAGTAATTGACTTATATTTAGTATTACTATAGATTACAATTGATAATTTATAAACTACAATGTTAAAAATAGAAACTATATAATATATAATCTCTAAAAATAACAATAACAATGTATATAAAATATGACATCTAAATATATTAGTTGTCAAATGTGGACTATTAGTCACAATAATGTGTCAAACAAAATCATTTTGGGCCAAAATCTAATATAATATTATATGAACATTAATTTAAATGGGACAAAATCTGGTCCAGTGGGCTAAAATATAAATGTGGGCCTAATTTTTAGTTTGTTCAGCCCATCTGCCAAACAAAAAAGCCTTGTGTCCATTTTGTTAAAGATATAAGCGGACGGTGGAGATCGAAGCACTCTCAATCGACGGCCATAATTTCATCTCATTGGCTATAAATACCAAAAAAATCGGAAATGAGGGTTCACTTCTCACCTCATTTCCGCCGCTCCAACTTTTCCTTTTGATTTTATGTCCAATTTTTTTTTTTTATTTGCTATTAATTTCAGTAATTCAATTTGGTTATTTGATGTAATATTTTGAAGCAATCGATATGCTTCCGATCTTGTAAATGATTATATTGTTTGTATTTTTTTTTTTTTACATAGATCGATTCGTATGTAAGAGAATCGTGTAATTTTATGTAGATTTTTCAGTTTCTCTTTCGCAATTTTGGATCTTATAGTTTATAAATTGCGTATTATGGCCGGAGACACCAAGATTCCGTTGTATGTGAAAAGTACCGCATCGGCATAGTATGGGTAAGCTTAAGATCCGCATGGCCAGATTTCGATAAGATCCGCATCGCCGGAGTTTGAGATGATTGGGTAAGATTATTGCCGGATTTTTTCAGTTTCATTACAGTCAACGTTCATTTTTTAACATTTCGATTTTTTTTCTTACATTATGTTTCACTCAATTTTTTTTTCCGATATGTTTTGATAAGATCCGCATCGCGTCAGCTAGCTTACGCTTAATATCCGCTTCACCGGAGTTGGGTTAACCGGAAATTCTTTTAATTGTGTAAGAGACTCGCCGGAGATTCTTTATATGTTTACCTTTGCTCAAATGTTGATTCACTTGAATTTGTTTTGATTACATTATTTTACATTTAATTGGGCAAAAATTTGAATGCTTAAACAAAATTTCAGATCATCGCTGTGGATTTGGGGATCTTAAAGAAGATCGACGCAAGGCTGGAAACACGAAAAAGGTACGATCTTCTTTATTAGCCTTATCATCTCTGTGTACGAATTTGACCAAGTCCCGCATTTATCTTCAATTATCTAAGGATTGCAGCGAAAAAATCCAATTTATTTATAATTTTTTACCATATTTTTATGAGAACCGATCGACTATACATTTGAAAAATCGTCAATTGATAATTTATAAATTACAATGTTAAAAATAGAAACTATATAATATATAATGTCTAAAAATAACAATAACAATGTATATAAAATATGACATCTAAATATATTAGATGTCAAATGTGGACTATTAGTCACAATAATGTGTCAAACAAAATCATTTTGGGCCAAAATCTAATATAATATTATATGAACATTAATTTAAATGGGACAAAATCTGGTCCAGTGGGCTAAAATATAAATGTGGGCCTAAATTTAAGTTTGTTCAGCCCATCTGCCAAACAAAAAAGCCTTGTGTCCATTTTGTTAAAAATATAAACGGACGGTGGAGATCGAAGCACTCTCATCCGACGGCCAAAATTTCATCTCATTGGCTATAAATACCGAAAAAATCGGAAATGAGGGTTCACTTCTCACCTCATTTCCGCCGCTCCAACTTTCCCTTTTGATTTTATGTCCAATTTTTTTTTATTTTCTATTAATTTCAGTAATTCAATTTGGTTATTTGATGTAATATTTTGAAGCAATCGATATGCTTCCGATCTTGTAAATGATTATATTGTTTGTAATTTTTTTTTTTTACATAGATCGATTCGTATGTAAGAGAATCGTGTTCATTTATGTAGATTTTTCAGTTTCTCTTTCGCAATTTTGGATCTTATAGTTTATAAATTGCGTATTATGGCCGGAGACACCAAGATTCCGTTGTATGTGAAAAGTACCGCATCGGCATAGTATGGGTAAGCTTAAGATCCACATGGCCATATTTCGATAAGATCCGCATCGCCGGAGTTTGAGATGATTGGGTAAGATTATTGCCGGATTTTTTCAGTTTCATTACAGTCAACGTTCATTTTTTAACATTTCGATTTTTTTTCTTACATTTTTTTTCACTCAATTTTTTTTTCCGATATGTTTTGATAAGATCCGCATCGCGTCAGCTAGCTTACGCTTAATATCCGCCTCACCGGAGTTGGGTTAACCGGAAATTCTTTTAATTGTGTAAGAGACTCGCCGGAGATTCTTTATATGTTTACCTTTGCTCAAATGTTGATTCACTTGAATTTGTTTTGATTACATTATTTTACATTTAATTGGGCAAAAATTTGAATGCTTAAACAAAATTTCAGATCATCGCTGTGGATTTGGGGATCTTAAAGAAGATCGACGCAAGGCTGGAAACACGAAAAAGGTACGATCTTCTTTATTAGCCTTATCATCTCTGTGTACGAATTTGACCAAGTGCCGCATTTATCTTCAATTATCTAAGGATTGCAGCGAAAAAATCCAATTTATTTATAATTTTTTACCATATTTTTATGAGAACCGATCGACTATACATTTGAAAAATCTTCTTAAAAAATAACCTTGTTAAGATAATCCTAATATAATTCATTAGATAATGGTAAATTTGATTCTGATTTGAAAATAAAACGATACGAATTTATATAGTTTCACAAATATAATATTTGACCTTTACAATTGCTTATATTACTATAGATTAAACACTTACAATACAATTTTTTCTTTGGGCACACGAATGATGCTTGCTGAGAATGAAGTGCATCACAAAGGTAATTAAAAGGTGAGGCTAAAATGAGAGTAATGGTAGGCTACAAAACAGGGAAGAGAGGTATGAAATATCTACTTTTACACTTCATTACCTGGGTTTATGTTTTCTTTGGCCATATTTCTGTTGCTGTGCTTATTGCTTTTTCCATTGTAGTTGAAATGTTTATCATTCTGCATCTTTATATGTTCTTGTTGTTGGTCTTGAAAAACAGTTTTGAAGCCTCGTGAAGCACTCTATATAATCTGTAAAATATAAAGTAAAAACATTAATTATGAATAACCAAAGGTAGTATATACATTAAGGTTTTGTTTATCCACTATCTCAGAAGACAAATGAAATTTACCATTCAAACATATTTGAATACTACTGTGAACCAATACCTGGTATATACAACTGTCTTAAGCTTTGTATAGTATTCTTTGCCCTCTACAATTGAAAAATGTGTGCATCATCATCCGAAACTGCCACTCAATATCTCTATATGCTTCAGAAAATCTATCTTGTGCGATTACTTGTTTCAATCTCTGGTTATGAATGTGAATGAGTATGGTGATTCTGTTGGTAATTGCTATGGGATATTTTTCATACTTTATGTATGCTCTCACGATCTTGAACTCTAAATAATGTTTATGTATATAAGGAGATTAGATAAGTATGAGGTTTAAAAGATATGCACAAATTTTCCATATCTTGTATAGAATATTAGGAGGTACTTATCCTATTAGATATTCTCTTAGACGATTTAAGAACAATTTGAGACGCCCATTAAAAGTATTTTTGCCCCAAATAGAAGATTGTAATTGTAATAATAAAAAAGATTTGATATTTTTCCATAATTTGAACAATCTATAGTAATAAAAAAATTTAAAAAGGTATCTACAACAAAGATTCGTATGAACACAATATTTATATATTTTTTAAGATTAATATATAAAAAAGGAAAATTATTTCAGAATGTGGGTACATGTTTATGATGGAATAATTTTATGCTTTTTTGTATTTGTTCTAATATAACTATTAATCTGAAATTATACGATACACATCTATTTTGTAACTTAGATTTAAATAACATAAATATATAATTGTTTAAAGTATTAGTATTAGTATTGATAACTAATAATTACCTCCGGAAATCCACAGTAATTGAGCTTAGGCTGAATATATTATACGAAGTTGGAGTTTAAATATGAGAAATAAAATATGTAATATCACCACAATAATATAGGACATAAAAAACATTAAACTTAAGCATCATATATCATACAACTTAAAACGAAATACATATAATGTTTTCACCAAATTCGTAAAAAAAGGTCCAAATCAAACGTATCAAGAAATTCTTCAAATTCAAACTTATTTAATGTGCCGAATACGAAATAGCAATCGAATAGTTAAATAAAACACCATATGTTATGGTGCCTTATAGAATCAATTTTCAGCAACGTCCTCATCTTGTAATGCACTGGGATCCAGTTTCTCCATCTTGCCCTTCCCTTTACCGGCATCTGCTGATCCAACAAATTGATCCACATTGGGTGTTGTGGATAAATCATTCAGAAGCTTCCGCTTTGCTGTGGAAGTGTCACCCTTTTCGATAGGTTGAAAAAACTTTAATGGTGTAGAAACCTCATCATCCAAAGTTGCATCCTACGTAAGTATAATAAAAGAAATAAATAAAATATAAAAATAAGAAGCCAAAAACATGTATTTTGGTACTAATACACACCAACCCATTGTCGTGGTCTTCCCTTTGCAGAACTGTAAGAAAGTCAGATCCCTACATATATAAACAATAAATGATTAACCGAGTTTATTTCAATATATATATATTTAATTATTATTTCTATATCTACATACAAAAATTTATATGAATATAAACGTATATTAAGTATATGATACATTTATTTGATTACCTCGTTCTCCACGAACCATTGGTTGTACATGGAGACTAAAGTTTCATCAGCCACAACCCTTACGACTGGAAATGAAGCTTTCTGCCCAGATGGATGTTTTGGATATACACGGACCTTGAAAAGGATCGTCTTACCAACTAAATTAGACACATCATCGGGAAGTTCAAATCTATTGGGATGCTGTTTCAGAACATGAATTAAAATATCAAATGTCAATTTATTTAATTAAACATATTTGTAATAAGAAATTACCTAACATATCAGTACCTCGTGAAGAAATGTACTTATCAAGGCCTCACATGGTGTTCCAATCATCTTTTCTGATTCCCTATCCCAACAAATGAACGTTGCACTTGATGTTGAATCCGAAACAATCAAGCGAATTTTGTACCTTGACATGAAAATTGTAATATAGTCATACAAATATATTACAGTATAATATAAAATAGAATCAAATTTTTTAAGTAAAATTAATCGGAAAGTATACATACCTTGTTACTCCAAATTGATGTGCACATTTGGTGCAACTTAATTTTCCATCTTCATCAGCCATCTTGCCTTTGCAACGTCTACATGCGAGGTACCACCATTCGTCAACAATTGAATCAATTGTAGCACATACCCAACATTTGATTTCCTAATATTACATTAAACAAATATGTGAATAAGAATTAAGTTTGGTAAAAACATCTATAGTAATATATAAACTTAAGGAAATATAGTTAATAATTAATACCTCGTCAGAGTCAAATAGAGAATCTACAGAACTAATGACTAAATCACCATTTTCTAGCTCTTCCATTTCACTCTTCAAAACAATTTTGCTATTGGTGACATATTTCCTCTTCTTGGCCCATGGGCTTGCTGAAAATCTATGAACATAATATATACAATATTTAGATAATTTAAATTACCTATTTAAATATAATATGTTGTATTTTATGTATTTATAAATGTATAAATAAAATAATAAGATAAGATATATATAAATCAAATTTAATATATAAATGTAATAGTTACTTCCGCTGAAAATCAATCAAATCTGGGAATGGTGCAACAGCATGTAGACGGGTGACATTCATATGGGTAGCCAATTGAACCTCAGCTGTTGTATATAAATACAAAAAATAAAATAATTAATATTTTTAAAATTTCAATCAACATAAATAATTAATGTACATTTAAATTTGCCCAAATGAAAACATAACTCGCATATACCTTCCCAAAATCGTGCCTGACAAAGCTGCATAATTAGCACCCACGGTTCACCAGTTGCCTCGGACTCAAAGTGAGTTTCAAAAGCAATGAGTTGGTCAACATAATGACCCCAAAGTGTGGACTGAATAACAATGCCACTGAAAAAAGATTTTGTGGTTTAATAATATATTATGAACAATACTACATAAACAATTCGTGGAAATTATCAAAATTTACTTACTTTAAATCCATGAGTGAAAAGACAATCATTTGGTTTTTTTGTCCATGAACCCATTTAGACTGAACCGGACAAATTTCAATCACCATACCAATAACATCTACATTGTATATAAAATAATATTAATTAAAGACATCTATGATCTATAATCAATAAAATACTAAATGTAAAATACGAATTGACAATACTTTATAAAAATTACCGAAAAGATAAGATTCATCCACATTCTCAACATCTTGAAAGTCAGCAAAGCTACGAAATTGAAAATGCCAAGAAGGAAAGTATGTGTGCATTTCTAGAACCTCTGTATTGCTATGAATAAGGAGTTTGTATTTTGCAACTGTAGATCGATACTTATCTATGTTGCTGTCTAAATAGTAGTTCCGGAGTTTATATACGCCACATTCGTGGAAATAGCCAGCCATCTTTGATAAATGAACACCACGAATAATACCACTAATGCGAGTCCCCTATAGAACAATCAAAAAGTGGTATAAATACCAAGAAAATTAACATAGTAATTGAACAATTTAATAATTAACACTACAATAACCTCTTCATCATGAAATACGATCTCCAATTGTCTCAGCCCAATGGAATCATATGACTTTTCGAATATACGAATTGCTCGAAGTTTTAGCATGAATCTCTTACTCCTCTGAATCTGTCGGATGAAGCCAAATGGTTGATCCATGTTATCTTATTTTGTTGGGTTGTATATTCACGGTAAAATAATGATAAAATGCGCGATTGATAACTGCATGGGCTGATATTATGGTATGAGGTATTTATAGATATCGCCTCAATCAATGAATATCTTAATAATTGATATATTAATGTCATATATATTTCGCAGATTTGTTATATAAGATAAAAAATTCAATATAATATATCTATATATAAATATATAATATATATTTTATTGATTGAGGCAATAAATAGTACCTTATATATCGCTTTGATAATTGTTCGGTAATTGCAAATATCTTATATTTGCTATGATCTTTGGTCAAGTTTGGAGTAGAATCATTCTCGCAGATTTGATGTTATCTTCGGATATATATATATCAATGCACTAATAAGAGAGTACAAATCTTTGACTATCTAGATCAATGCACTATTTAGATTCATAGATATCTAGATCTCTAAAAATTGAGTTTTTCCTTTGATTATATTACAATAATCATTCGAATCACATTGCTTCATAGATGTATATCTTTAACAAACATTATCTATAATTTCATAGCTATCAGCTCGATTTCATCCCTATTAATATCGTATCAAACATTATCTATAATTTCATAGCTATCATGTTACCACATTAAAATAATAAATTTTCGAAAATGTAAACTATGCGTTTTTCCATTTTATTATAAAATGAAGAGCCTTTTATCGACAGTAGATATTTTTCAAATGGTTACTGATTAGTTATATTTTTCATAGATAGATATATATCTATAACAAAATTAGTATTTTGTATAGTGTGAATTCTATTAATATCCAATATATTGGGGATTGTGGTTTCACCCTTCAATTCGATTTTGTCCCTTTTAATTCGATATCAAAGATTGTCATATATCGATAACAACCATATATAGATATGTATATACCTTTTAATGATAGATATCGATAACAACCATATAAGAGAGTGCTTATCAATATAATTGTTTAAACCCTTATCCGATGAGTTTATTGATTAAAAGGTATGTATCTATAACAAACATGACTAAATTTTGGTTTTTCAGATTTTATATAATTCGTATTGCTAAATGTTATCTATATTAGTTACTATTATCAAAGGTTAGGACGTGAAGAAAAAACACGTTTCAGCATATTGGAATTAGAGCAATATATTGTTTGACATCGTTGTTATTATTCGCAACTAATATAAACTGAGGTTATTTTAGTGTAGGTCTTGATTCTATACACGATTAAAAAATACGAAACCAACAACTCAGTGAACATCAATACTCGGTGAACATCAATATCAATATAAAGATTGATAAAACTAACACCATTTATTTTATTACGAAATAAAAGCATCGGGAACCACAATAAATGTCTGAAAAATCCCAAAATTACGAACCTCAAATCCAACGAAATGTAAAATGTTCATCAAACCACAATAAATAAAAAACGATTAACTTGATAACTAAATAATAGAAAAACTCGCTTCAACTCCAACTTCATCAAATCAGTCTTCTTTTTCTTCGATCAAATTTCCATCATCATCAACCTTTGCTTTCCCTTTATTGCTAGTAACGGACTCAGCAGCAAATTGATCAGATAGGTTCCGTTTTGCAATTCCATCACCATCTTCCTTGGATTGAACAACCTTCACAGGAGTCGATACCTCATCTTCCAATGTGGGATCCTACAATAATTCAATTAAATATATTTAATCAAAATATGAAAATAATGTTTAATATTTCAATTCATTATGAAATAATTAAAAAAAAAAAATCGTATCATTGTGGTAAAAATGTATACCACTCCATGTGCAGCCTCATCTCTTAGTAAGAGAGTTAAGAAATCAGAATCCTATAAAAAAAATTAATATTATATACAAAGAAAAAACACAAATACGTTAATATAAAATGAACACAATTAAACTTTATAATTTCGAATAAAGGATCAATTATCTGAATTCAAATAAGACTTACATCATACTCAACGACCCATTGACTATATTTGGAAACCAAACGTTCGTCAACGACAACTTTTATCACAATAAAAGTAGAACCCTGATTGTAAGGGTCATCCGGCTTAATGCGAACCTTAAATAGATATGACCTCCCTTGCAAATCTTCAAGTTCGTCGGGGAGTTCAAAGATGGGTTTCTTCTGCCATAAAATCAATATTTATATTGCTTTTCATTTTTTTAACCGTAATAATATAAAATAAATATAAATATAAATATAAATAAATAATAAATAATAAATAAGATATAAGATATACCTTTTGGGATAATTCACGTTTCAAAATATCGCAAGTTTTGCCAATGATATTTTGACAATCCTTATCCCAACAAACGAAGGTTGCACTGGCGGAAGCATCCGAAACACCAAATTGAATTTTGTAGCTACAAATCAAATAAACTTGCGATTAATGTTGTCATTAATAAAGTTCATATACAAATACATATACATATTTAAAATTGAATATATAGAATATTAACAAACCGAAATGTGCCACGATTGTGAGAGCACTTCCGGCACGAATATATCCCGTTGTGGTCCTCCATTGAGGAGTTACAACGAAGACATGCAAGGTACCACCATTGGTCTATGATGGAATCGATCCTTGCGCAAACCCAAGTGTCCATGACCTACAAAGAAAAAATGCATACATAACCATTAATATGAATTCGATTAGAATATATATAGTATGGCATTGAATTTATCGAAATTGTTATTAATAAATGATAAATAAATTATAATAATAATGAATATTGTATTTTTTAGTTTTACAATTAAAATGCCAAATAGAGTTACAATTTATATTACCTCAATATACTCGAATAGAGAATCAACAGAACTAACAACAATGTCACCATCATCAAGTCCTTGCAGTTCGGTCTTCACAATGATCGAGCTACTTGACACCAATTTGGTATCCATAAATTTAGTCAGCGCCAACCTATGTTGTAGAATAACAGAAACAATGCTAAGATATAATATGATGACACACAGTTACCAATGTAAATGCTTTGGAGCATCAAATAACATGTACCTCCTCCGAAAGTCTTCAATTTCGGGTACATCCACACCAATGATCAACGTCACGTCCTTCGACGTGCTTATTTGAACATTACCTATTACACAAAATATTGTCGTAAACAATTAGTATTAATCAAAATTTTATTTTATAATGAAAAAATTATCAAATTAACATAATTAATTACCTCTCCACTCTCTTGCGCGGCACATTTGCATTATGATGACAAAAGGTGTTTTTTCGTTTTCATAATGATGCTCCAAAGCAATCAGCTGATCAACATATCGACCCCAGACAGTGCATTCCTTGACATTACCCCTACACAATGTGGATATGTATTTTTAAATAATTTATTAAAAACCGTTTTGAAAAAATTTGAATTACATAAAATACTTATGTAATATAAAAAGTTTTAATATAAAGCTACAAAATATTACTCCAAATCCATAATAGAGAATACAATCATTTGGGTAGGAACTCCCTTCACAATCTTCATTTGAATTGGTTGTATTGAAACAACCAATCCAATGATATCTACAAAAAATAAAAGAATGCATCATATTAAAATGTTGAACATAACAAATATTTCATTAAAGCATTGCAAAACAAAATCGGAATATATATGTATATATATATATATGTATATATGTAACGTACCAAACAACATAGCTTCCTCAATGTTACGAACATCCATCAAAGTTAGAAAGTTTCTAAAGTCAAAACGAAAAAATGAAAATTCCTCCTTCCATTTCACAATCTTGGTTTGGCAATGGATGATGATCCTCCATTTTCCTATGGTCGATTTGTAGATGCCGATATTACTTTCAACTTGATAATTTGTCAAAATATAAAAACCACCTTCTTCAATATGGCCTTTGAATTTTTGGATGTTGACAGGTCGAATAATGCCAGTAATTCGTACACCCTAAAACAAATACAAATTGAATAATTAAATATTAAATATAAGAGATATAAAATATAAAATATGTCACGTTGAATGTTGCAATCGAAATTATTTGTGAATTAAAATTTATTCTTAAAGTTAAAATTTTTAGATAAAATATAAATGTAAATAATAACAAAAGAATATATTACCTCAACATCGTGAAAGACAATCTCAGGAACATTTCGATAATTGCGTACATCTTCGACTCGTTGGAACATCCTAATAATGCGTAGCTTCATGGGTGGCTTTTTGGATCTGTCGATATCCTTGATGACTCCAAAATCTAAAGGCATTGTGAATGTTGTTGTAAAAGGTTGGCGAAAAAAATGTATTGTGGGATGTGTATGATGTCGAGACTATGTTGAAAAGTTTGTGATGTTTATATAAGAATCTGTAGGAAACAATCGTGAAATATCGGTTAATGGATCCGATCGGATTTTCTTACAATAACAATATGATGAGTTGGTTCGAAAAATGAGGACTCTATACATGGCATTTCAATGCAATTGGCATCTAATCCGCTGATTTTTATGATTACATTTGGTTCGAAAAATGAGGACTCTATCCGGTTTTATTGTGAAAGAAAATCGCAACAAATTCACATAGAATCCGCTGATTTTTATGATTACATTTGGATACCCATTGAATTTGCTCATAATCTCGTTTTTTTTGGTAAGTCAAATCGCAATACGCCTACAATTGAAAAGCAATTGAATTCGCATAGAATCCGGTTATATTGTGCAAGAAAATCACAACAAATTAACATAGAATCCGCTTACACATTGAATTGGATCATTATTCTGTATTTTGGTAAGTAAAATCGCAAAAAAAATCGGAACAATATCAGCATTATTGATAGTGGTAACGCAAAACACTCCAACCGGCTTGAAATCGGTTTGCCTCCTTCTTCCTAGCTGACAGAACGCCGCGCTCCTGCACAAAACTCTCACACCGGAGGGGTTTTCCGGTGAAGAGCCTCCGATGCTTAAGTCAGTATATGTTTGTTCAATTTTCCAAAGTAAAGAATGGAT